GGGGGCACAGCTGAGCTACTGGGGAGCAGCCAGCAGGGGCTTCTACCACAGCGCCCCTGGGGGACACAGGGCGCAGGTCAGCCCTTGGGGAGTGAGAGGGAAGCAGGAGGAGAGGATGCAGGCCAGGGGCACACAGCTGGGCCCAGAGTGGACTCGGGCAGCCCTGCGGCCCCCTGGCCGCCTTGCCCAAGAAAGGGCTGGTCGTGGAGGTCTGGCCCCAACTTCCTTCGGGCCGCCCCTCTCCCTGCGCAGTAATAAGGCCCTGGGCTCCCATCTGTGGTTGGAAGAGGCCGTCAGCTGGTCCTGCTGTCCCCTGTGAGCAGCCTGGGAGAGGCCGCTGCTGGGCAGCCCCTGTCGGGATGTGGAGGCAGGAGCTTCTGCTCAGAAGCCTCTGGGCCCGCATGTCCCTCTGTGAGCACAGAGCTCAGTCCTTGGCTGGGCGGTGCCTGACCTTCCGGCACGGGGCCTCCCTCAGCCCCTAGATGGCCCCGCGGCTCCTGCCCCTCCTGCCGCGGTCACGCTCTGGCCTGTCCCATGGCTCTGACTTCCTGTCCTCTCCCCTGGACGCTGGCTGATCACAGGGATTTAAAAGCCTGTGGAGCCAGAGCTGCCACCACTTCCAATGGGACTCAGATTTGTCTGTGTTTGTTAATCCTCACCCGAGGGTATGTTCCCATTGATGTTTACGGAGAGTGGAAGGGAGAGGGAGAGACAGAGAAACATCGAGGTGAGAGAAATACATTGATTGGTTTCCTCCTGCAGGTGCCAACCAGAATCTGGGCCAAGGAGGAGCCTGCAACGGATGTACCTGCCCTTGACCAGAATCTAACCAAGGAACATTTGGTCCACGGGCCGACACTCTATCCACTGATCAACACAGGCCAGGGGCTAATGTGACTAATGCTAATATATTCAGTGTTTTGTAGACACTGATATCTTAAGAGGAAAAATTCAGTAAATAAATACGAACCAAGTGGAACAATGCTGGAGAAGTGAGCTGTTGCCTGAGAAAACCTCCATTTAGGATGGACATGGAGTTAAAAAAGCGGATTTTTCCAGGCAACGTTGCATCTCCTTCTTTTCTGTTTTACCTTAAATATTTCTTAATTTTTCAATGATAGCAGGAATTTGTCACTTTTCTCTGAAACCCTCACGTGAGGATGGAGTTAAGAGCTGAGGAGCCCGAGGGAGAGGAGGGGGTGAGGGAGGCAGCAGCAGAGGAGGGAAGAGGAGGAGGGAGGGTGTCACTGAGAGTCTGTGCTGGTTGTGACCAACCTTCTGTGGGTTTGATCAGAGAAGGAGAAGGTGGTGCCCATGACCAGGGTGAACACTAACATATCAGACATGATGGGTCAGTAGTGACACAGGGTTCACACACATGACATTAATCTGTGGGGGAGCATGGCTGTCTGGGTGACCATGTGCAGTTGCAGACACAGGATGTGAGCTGATAGGAAACATACGCTGGTCTCGGCCCCTGGCCCCGGCACAGGCTCCTGAAACCCTTGTCAGTCCCTTGGGGGCGGGCGGGCCTTTGCTGATGAGGGGACGCTGAGTGAGTTCCTGGGATTGACACCCTAAGTGCAGGCAGCCCTCACCTCTGGACCCAGGGGTTTTGGTCTCACTTCCTCGTCATCTGAGACACTGTGAGTAATGAAGGCTGCTCCCACTGCCATGGTATGTAGCACAGTAATAGTCAGCCTCGTCCTCAGGCTGCAGCCCCGAGATGAGCAGGAGCCCTGCATTGGCCGAAGCATCTTTGGATCCAGAGAAGCGGCCGGAGCCCTGGTTCTTATCTGAGTCTGAATAATATTCCAGGAGTAACCAGGGAGGGCTCCCTGGCTTCTGCTGGTACCAGGCTATCCAGTAACCACCAACACTGAAGCCACTGCTCAGGGTGCAGGTGAGTCTGGCTGTGGTTCCCAGAGATGCGGAGAGGGAGGGCGGCTGAGTCAGCACAGGCTGGGAGAGGGACCCTGCAGACACAGACACTTGTCAGTGATGGGCAGGGACCAGGGGACGTTTCCCAGGAGACTGAGCAGGAAGGGAAGAAGCCTGGTCCCAGGCCTGTCCCTACCTGTGCAGTGAGAGAGGAGCGCGAGGAGCAGAGGAGTCCAGGCCATGGTGCTCACAGCCCTGAGCCCACAGTGGGGCTGGGCTGCCCAGGCCTCCTTTTCTCCCCCACCCTCTGCCA